AGGGTGTTCGATGTGTGCAGCCTTCACAAACATTAAACAGAGGGTTGCTTGCCTGCCAATCTTGCCTACCCCCTTCGCGTCGATGAAGGCCTCATTCAAGCGTTGCTTTTGACGGCGGTTTAGACCAGGATCGTAGTCCCACCAGCGTCGGATAGAGGGTGAGGTCGATCAAGTGTGACATAGCAGCGGGACTACATTACGAAATCATTACGAATTTTTGGCAGAGAAAACAGGCGGGACATCCAATTTTCCAGCCCGTCTGATCCCTCTCCAGGAGGTTGGCGGCATTAACGTTTTAAAGATTGTGTTGGCTGCAAGTTGCCCTTTGGCAACGCGAGATGGGACCGTTCAGTAGGCGGAGTTCGATGGTTGGCAGCGGTTCAACAAATTTAAAGCTTTGTTCGTTGGAAAAAAAAAAAAAAGTTTGTCCTACAAGGTCACAATTGCTTGGAGTTGCCTCAATAGGCCTGCACCTGCAAGAGAACTTGAACTGATTTTGGAGATGCGAAACTCATTTTGGGGATTCCATATGGGTGGGAAAGGTGTCGTGCCCTTCCAAATTTATATGAAAATGTAACCGTATTTCCAAGACGAACCAGCGGGAAGCGCAAGGGAGCCCATTTAATTTGAGACCCAGCGCCCCTTTCTGTGTAGGAACAATTATCCTTAGATGTTGGACAAGCGACCGAAAATCATAAAATAAAACTGAAAGTTGATGTATGGATGAAAAATCCAACTTTTAGGCATAATTTCAGTTTTGAATTTTTATGTTGGCGTGCATAGAGAGAGCGGGAGAGAGCGAGCGCGAGGGAGAGAGAGAGAGAGGGGAAAATATATATATATATATACATATATATAATGACATACAATAATAATAAACATAAGAGAGACAAGATTAATATAGAATATAATCATAAATTTATATTCATCACTCGTGGTTAATGGGTGGTGTTATTTTCGGCGTGTGTCATTCTAGTATAATATCATATTACCATATAATAACTAGAGTATCATTATTTGATGAATTATAGAATACAAATTTATAATATAATTATAAATATTATATTTATAATATGATTTATAATTATATTATTTATAAATATAAAGACGAATCCTTTTCAAGTTGCCCTTGTCAACCTTTCAAAAACCGAATCTTTACGTGTGGCTCCATCAATTTGCAGCTCGTAAAACATCGACGAGGCACCCCTCACCACCTAGTGGAAAAATATGAAAGAGGAAAGAAAAAAAAAAGAGGAAAAATAAAATAAAATAAATAGAGTGCGACGAATGTTACAATGATGAATTCAAAAAGGCAATTGCCCTCTCGCAGTCGGCGTGCAATAACGTGTCGGTGAACAATTGTCTAAGGAAATGCATCGTTGACGACGTCGCAGCGACTGTGGATGAAATGACAAGAGACGAATCCGTGGTTCCGGACTAGTCATGGGCAAGCGACGAACAGGCAACAGGGATGTCATGATCTCTCACGGATGGCTCTCGCTATCTCTAGAAGGGCATTGCACATCATCTTGTTCATCTTCCCCAACCGGGAGGCTGGAGCGCACATCCTCCCACTTTCATTCCCTGTTCTTCATGCGATCGAAATTGTTCCCCATACCCGTGAAATACACATCTTGATCCCTTTTCGCCTGCACGAGTGCGATCGTGTCTCTGACCGAACAAAAAATTATAGTCCCCTCGCCATCTCTCCCGCACGTGTCGTTGTCCGTTTTCTTGTTCCGCCGACTCCTTTGTGTGGAACCCTTTCTCCCACTCCCGCAACCAGTCATGACGTTCCTCCCAAAGGGTCCAATCTCTGACAATTCCTCAGAGTTGTAATCATCGTCACCCTCAACGTCGTCGCAGTTGCATGACTTTTGAATGGCCACGTCATCGCCTTCCTCGACGTGGAGTCGTTGCAACCCCTTCGTTATGGCCTCCGTTCAAGCTTGTCGTACGACCTTTCTGCACTCCACCCACACTCGCCTGCCCGCCCGTTCGACGTGCACGCCCACCGCGGAGGCGTCATCCTGTCACTCTCGTCCACATAGTCCTGTATCCGCTTCGTGACGCAGGCGATGGTCGCATCCAATCCGGACGATGATATACACTGCCTCCTCCCTCGGCCTTCGTCGAATATGAAACATCAATTCCCACCATCGTCGAGAAGCGGTTTAGGTTGCCTGTCATCTCGCGCCCATCGATCGCAACCCACGTCTGCTCGTACAATCCCCATCAGGGTGGGGATTGATGATGCACATGTGGGTCACTGCTGCTTCGCTGCTGCTCAACAACTGGAAACTGAGATCGAGTTGTGCATTAGCGTCGTCGTCGCACAACCCCTTGTTCAACATTGACGTGTAAGACCACGGGGTCCCCATGTGCCTGCCACCGAAGGACTGGCTCCCCGCCCAATCCTGCATGGAACCACTCCCCAACGGCACAGCGGATGACCTCACGTCTTCGTGCTCGTCTCCCGTCAGCAGCAGAGGAATCTCATGCGAAGGCAGGTGAGCGTACAGTGACGGGTCATATGCTTGCTTGCCCGCAGACCCCACATTCCTGCTGCTGTGCCTGCTGGTCTGCCGTTCGCCAGTCGTCACTCCATCCTGTTGCCCTTCTTCGAAGACCTTCTTTTGCACGCCGTGCCAGGCAGGCGGCCCACGAAACATATGTGGAAGAAGACAACGGTCACAAGCAGCACGGGGATAAGGAGCAGCAGAGGCAGCCTGTGGTGCAGGTCGGTCATGAACGGGCCGCGGAAAGGGAAGCAACGCCAGGTCATTGGTCGACCGTCCAGCAAACAATGGCGTTGGAGGGCAGCAAACGCGGGAGTACTTGGACGTGCAGCATGTGATGCCAAGCGACAAAAACGACGACCGTGCCAAAAACACTTCGAAATGAAGCGCTGCGTCGACGCATGCGTTCGCCACTCCGGATATCGTGGTTCCTTGTGCTCCGAGAGGTCCCTTGGGGATTAGGAGAAATTGGCTTGAGCCACAAGAACGCCACAAGAAAATCTCCTTCTGGCTTTTTCACAAGTTTTTTACCCAAATAGTTCCCCAGGACAGGTTGAAGCACGTCCTTGTAGATTTCGGGTCCCCAAGGAGTGTCTACCCACGCCCCAACTTGTTTGTCTTGTGAAAGATCTCCTGAACCATGCAAATACGGTAATATCTGTAAGGCCTTAGGATCATCATCTTCTTTTTGTTGATTTTCAAATCCAGTCTGTATTAACTGAGCTAATGGATGCTCTTCTCTCCATCTCTACACATATTTTCCTCATCTATCTCATCCTCTAGGGGAACACCCATCAACCTGTGGATCTCTCCCCAGCCTGTCTTTTCTGCATGTGTTGAGGAGCAGGGCCCAATGGTCCTGTTGGCAACTCTCAGGGTGTACTCACAGCACTTCGCTGGATGTATCTGCCCACAATCACGGTCACAGCTGAGTTAAGAAAGTCCTGTGTTAGGATGTCCTCAGAGCATTATATTACGACATTTCCAACTGGTTTCGGGACGCCATTTACATCAGGTACATCCACGATGGGCCGTAATTCCGATCCGGTACGGAATGTCGAAGGGTGCAGATTTGGGGACGGATGGAGAGAAGGTTCACCTGCCAATTTTCTTGCGGTCTGGGCTGCCGGCCGTAAATGACACGATGTAACGCGGCGGACGTGGATGAATGGTGAATACCTGGAACTATTAGTAAACAGATGAGGAGTTCGAGCCCAATAGTTTGGAGCCACAGATTTACAAGCAAAAGGCAACAAGTAATAACGCTGTACGGATATTAGACAGTGCGGGTATAGTTTCCTTTTCGGATGTAGGATGTTACGGTGACGGCCACACGTCAGACAATGCAATAAAAGCGAAGACAGAGAAAAGTGCAGGGGGTCCGGAAAACGTGTGGCCTGCCTCAGTTGGTAAACCCCAGAACTGTTGAAAGAAAGACCTGAGTTCGAACTCCGCTCAGAGCAGAGGAGTAAATTACTTCAATTCTGAATTACCTACATTAGGGCAGGTCAGTTCGATGATGATATCTCAACGCTGTCTCCCTTTTCAAAAGAAAAAAACAAACGTGTGGCTATGTTAAGGAAGCACAGGTGGGAGACGAAGACGTAAGAGACGAGACCCCGCCGGGACGAAGACGTAAGAGACGAGACCCCGCCGCGCCCCCCCCCCCAACCCCGCCGACTCACGCGGATAACTTGTAGGTCGGGACGCGGGCATACTTGAAAGACAAAGACTCAAGGATATGCACACTTACGCGCACATACACGCATATACACGCATACGCTCTCTGTGTGTGTGTGTGTGTGTGTGTGTGTGTGTGTGTGTGTGTGTGAGAGAGAGAGAGAGAGAGAGAGAGAGAGAGAGAGAGAGAGAGAGAGGTCCGCCTTTCTCTAACTATGAACACCACTTGAGCATGCCTGAAACAGGAGATTTTCGATGAGGAACGTTTCGTTGGCCGACTAATAAATTTTAGGAAAGGGGATAGTGTAGCATACGTATACATATATGAAAATGTGCGTGTCTTTACAGACAGACGCACACACACACACACAGAGAGAGAGAGAGAGAGAGAGAGAGAGAGAGAGAGA